CTGCCAGGTAGAAACTCACAGGACACTTCTCAGCCAGCATCTTGAGCAAATGGTGCTGTCATTGTTGCTACTTTACACCCCACTCAAGTATGCTTCAAGTAACACTGCAGAGTCTACTGGGCACAAGAGAACAATCTTATATCAAAGGCCAGAAAAGACCTGTGGCAGAGCACTTGGTCTTAGCAAGCTTTCTTCTGCACCAAAGAGATGCAAGAGGAGGGCAAATGGGCTTCAGAGATGTAGGGGTTTATTTCCAAGCAGGCATCCCCAGTCAAGGCAGGCTTTGCCGCAAATGGGCTGCTTGCATTACAACCAATGAATTTAGATTCCTCTCTCTTCCACCTCATTTCAAAAGGTATGTACAAGCTGCCTATCCCAATCTCCTTCTGCCCAACTCTATTCTGGGATGAAGTCCAACCAAAAAACAAATTCACCCTACTCCTGCTGCAGAGAAGAGACTGCTTGAAGAATCAGAGGTGCTGCAAAATGTGAAGCAAGAAAAATGAACTTCTAGACTGAAAACTGGCTGAATTGGGGGGGGGGGGAGGACAGAACAGGGGTTCTGTTTCTTTAAGCAACTGCCAGATGTCTGCAAGTTGCTGGAAAAACCAGTTTGTACATGAGGGCTTGATGAACAAAGGCCAAGCTCCCCAGCAGCACTCCAGCTACTCCTGGAGAAATCTAAAAAATGTGCCTCTTCTGAACCTTCCATCACTGCCTCTGTCACAGGGACCCTGGCCCACGGGGACCCCTGCTAAGCTGGCTACATCTGGGGATACAGAATGAGAGGCAAGAGCCAATATACCACCATGCCCTAGGGTAGGTCAACAGCATGAGGGGCAGTCTACCATGTTGCATTACTCAATGAGGGGAAGCACAAGTACAGGTGATATCAGCAATGCAATCCCAGGGCCTGCTTTTAATGGCAGAGCTGGCTTGAGAACAAGTGACGTGCCAACAAAAAGTCTCTGAACATGAGCAGTTTCCTTGCAACAGCCCATTTACCTACATTTAGAACTAGGGGAAAGGTTTCCAGAGCAAAGGACAGAGTTTCCTCCTACTTCCAGAAATTAGCCATTGGAATGACTGCAGTCTACAATGTAACTTGGTTCAGGAGAAGGAAGCACCTCTGACTTCAGCCAATTGTTTTCAGCTATAATATACAGAGCTTGTTATCTAGAACCATTATGTGAGCCACATAGGAGCTGCTTAAAACTGAGCACCTCCTTTGCATCTTGGAGAATATTTAAGTGACCCCATCTATATATGTCCTAGAGAACTGGCAATCATGGTCCTGCCATGGTGCTAATACCACGAGAAGACGTATGTGCTTGGGCCCCAGCTACATGGCAAGGGTCTTTTAAGTGTTCTCCCATCCTCACAGGATCTGCACATAGCTAAAGCACCTGCACAGCTGGGAGATCTAAAGCACACCAGATTTTACTCAGGACACTGGGTGAAGCAGAAAACATTCCGCCTTTGGTCTCAAACTCAAGCAAGCTTTGATTTCAAAATACTGACAAAAACAATACTGTGCCAAAAGCAATAGGCAATGTTACCTTCCCATCCCTGACTCATTTGACTTGATCATTAATCCTATGTTTGTTAACATGAAGGTCCATTCCTATGGAGATAGCACTTTGAGGTCACAAACATAGGATTATGACATCACAAAGGGAACTCTAGCAGGATCAGATGACTAGGAAGCAGCTATAGATTGTTTACACATTTCACTCTGCAGCAACAGGATATAGTTGAAATGAACCCTAAGATAGATAACAAAACCTGGAGCAGTGTGCGCAATGGAAGACTGGATCATTTAGAAGCCAGTCAGATAAACCACCTGTGGTGGCAGCCTGGATTTTTCACATTCATGTCAAACTGGAGTGGAGAATTCTTCATTGGTTTTCAAAGCTTTCTGAAGGCACATTAGATGTGATGGGTTGACACCGAAAAGCAACTGCCTTGCTGTCAATGAAAGTTGAAAGCTAAGAAATGTATCCAGAACAACTCTGATTCTATCTTTGTTGCATGATGCTATAGGAGGTTTTTTTTGGTTATCTTTCACATTAGAAACATGCTAATTGCCACCGTTTGAGAATGGCAACTGATAAAACATCACCTTTCCTCCTCCTTCTCTCCAAACAGTGGAGATGAACCAATATACACTGATTTTTGGATCCAACAATATGCCAGGGGCTGATTTGGCAAATTCCTATCCACAGAGATCTCCTTCTCCAAGGAATTGACACTGCAAGCCCATCTGAGTTTGTAACTCCAATGTAATATGCTTACACAAGTGGAGCACTTACATAAGGAGGATTTAGATGGTGTTTTGGGAAGCTCAGGATGGCCACTGGCATATTACTGGAACTGACTGAAAAGACAAAATGTTTGTTATCCTAGCATAAAACCAGAACAGTTAAAATCTGTATCAGAACTTGTTCATAAACCCAAAGATAGAAAAGAGGGGTGTCAATGAGTCCATAAAAGTGAGTCATATTCTGCTATCTATGAGAATAAGCTGGTCTAAGGGGTAAGATGGAATGTCAATGACTTAATTAGGATATATTTCATATACAAACAAGAGGATTCCAAGATGGGAGGGGCTGCCCCAATGAAAATGGATTTATGGCACAATCCTGCACAATCCTGCAATTTGGCATAGTGGTTAGCATGTTGGACTGGGACTCGAGAGATCCAGGTTCTAGTCACCACTCAGCCATAAAGCTCACGGGGAGACTTTGGGCCAGTCACTGACTCTCAGCCTAACCTAACCTACTGCACAGGTTGTTCTGAGTATAAAATTAAGAAGACAAAGATTACATAAACTGTTTTGGATTCCTTGCAGGAAAAAGGTGGGATAAGAATATAATTGATTAATAAATGGATTCTCAGAAGTTATTCCTATTAGGTTCACTGGTGCTTACTCCCCAGTAAGTGAGTATAGGATCGAAGTCTTAGCCTTTTGCAAGTCATAGCTCCATAGTGAGATGCAGATTTTGTTTCGCGCCATGTTGCTCGTCTTCCTTCCCAAACACAAGGAAGTGGCAATGAGCAAACTTTGAAAAGAGAATGAAGTGTTTTGTTTGTAACCTGCATGAGAGGCCAAATAAACTACCTTTCACACCCAAAGGCAGGCATGTGGGATCCTCAAGCAGACAAAAATCAATCTCTCTTTAACAGGAATGAACTTACCAAACCAGTCGGTCAAGCCAGGCAGAGAGAAGAGTGGGAGGGAAGGGAGAGGTGAGGCATAAGGGAGTGGGAGGGATATATAGACTGAGGGAAGTACAAAGGAAATATGAATCACCCATCTAGGGAAGAAGAGTTCAACACCGCCGTAGAGTTTTTTATTTGCTTCAAGATGGCCACCCCCATAAACACTGTTTCATACAAAGTGGCCTTTACACAGACCATCTCCTTCACCACCACCCCCATGATCAGGAAGATAAAACACAAGAAGCTAGCCAGCAATGCAGACTGGAAAACAACTGGCTGAGTTGCCAGAAGCAAAATTTGCTTTTAGCCTCTGAGGTCTGTGTGTCAGAGGTACATATTTCAAACTTCAAAATGTTTATGAGAAACAAATTCCTACTCCCCCACCTGGATGTTGCCAGCCAATGGTTGGAGGGATTTAGTACAATCATGATAATTGAATGGCTATTGTACCAGACCAATTCAACATTATAGAAATAATAGCAGGAAAAAGATGATGACCACAACTACAACTATGACAACAACACAATGGATCAAATTTTCAGCTACAGGAGGGGCATCATCATATATTTATCTTCACAATTATTTTACAGAACAAATGATATTCTAAGTGTTATCCATAGTCATCCAGGAAGATTTACTATAAAACAAGGATTTTGTACCAGGTTTGTACAATTGTACAAATAAACATTCAGAACCATCATTCTGTTTACTCATCACATCAGTAGCGTACTGCCCACTGTCTTATTCAATTACACCAACATACATTGCTCAACTGTTTTAGAACCATACAGGTCACAATACATTCCCTGCCTTGCCACTACAGTTTAACAGATGCTAACAGTGTGCACAAAGTTTAACAGTGTGGTTTAGTGGTGAGAGTATCAGTTCAGGACTTGAGAAACCCAGGTTCAAATTCTCACTCAGCCAGGGAGTTCTCTGGATGGTTTTGGACCAATTATCCTCTCTCAACCGAACTTAAAAATGGAAAGGGGAGAAGAGAACTGTGTGAATTGCCTTGATCTCTTTGAAGGAAAGATGGGATGTGTGTTTGTATAATAAATAATCCCTGTTGTTGTTAGTTGCGAAGTCGTGTCTGACCCATCATGACCCCATGGACAACATTCCTCCAGGCCTTCCTGTCCTCTACCCTCCCCCGGAGTCCACTTAAGCTCATACCAACTGCTTCAGTGACTCCATCTAGCCACCTCATCCTCTGCCGTCCCCTTCTTCTTTTGCTGTCTATTGTTCCCAGCATTAGACTCTTCTCCAGGAAGCCCTTCCTTCTCATTAGGTGGCCAAAGTATTTGAGTTTCATCTTCAAGATCTGGCCTTCTAAAGAGCTGTCAGGGTTGATCTCCTCTAGGACTGACCGGTTTGACCGCCTTGCTGTCCAAGGGACTCGCAGGAGTCTCCTCCAGCACCACAATTCAAAGGCCTCAATCCTTTGGCACTCAGCCTTCCTTATGGTCCAGCTTTCACAGCCATACACTGCAACTGGGAAAACCACAGCCTTGACTATACGCACCTTTGTTGTCAGGGTGATGTCTCTGCTTTTTAGTATGCTATCTAGATTTGTCATAGCTTTTCTCCCCAGGAGCAAGCGTCTTTTAATTTCTTGGCTGAAGTCCCTATCTGCGGTGATCTTGGGGCCCAGGAAAATAAAAACCCCATGGACAGTACCAAAATAATCCCTACTCCATGCCTTTTGACTCTCCAATGAATTACCTTTGGGACTTGTCTGGAACCTGATTAAAACCATGTGATCTGGTCTCACTCACCATACATTTTGCCTTCGTCCGAGAGGATAATCTTCCGCCGTCCACAGGGCGGATATATTGCCAGTGCCTCCTGGAAACTCTGCTCAATGTCTGGACTCCACACTCCTTCGGCATCATTGTCCAGACTCTTGTCCATCCCCTCCTGTCCATCTTCTCGCCCCTCCCCGGGGCTGCTGCTGGCGTTCCAGCTGTTGGACGCTATTGTGATGGCTGCTCTGGGCTCTGACCCTGAGCCCTAAATGGCAACTCGTCAACCTAAGGAGCAAACAGAGATGATGGATTAAGCATGCTTCTAGTGTTAGTGCTACGACACTTATAACTTTAGACTAGTGATGTGTGAAGAATCCAGTTTAGAGGTGGGAATCCACTGAATTTCCTTGGCTTGGATCCCTAGACACTGGCCCACTTTCTCTGAGCCCTAAGTCCACCTTGGGCCAAGTGTTTGCATGGGCACCTGCAGGAAAAGAGTCCAAGCAAGTTTGTGAAGCTTATTTGCACACACGCTGCCCACACACCCACGAGCAAGCAGGGTTTTGCTTCCCCATACATGAATTGCAGAATGTGTGTACTTTGTGCAAATAATTAAGGACTTTTGAGCAAAGAAGCTGCTAGCATTCATGCACTTGATCTTGGTTCAGCTCACTTCCTGGCCAGGTGCAGAGAAGAAGTCTGGCAAGCACAAGACAGCTGGATTCCAATCTGTCCTTTGTATCTGTATTCTGCACTCTTTAAGTCAAAAGCAAATGGGAAATCATGATGAGAGAGCCTAATTATGGGGAGCCATGAAGGAGGCAGAGCTGAAGAGCAGCCTGTATAAAGATGCTTTTTGTGCAGAAAGGACAAAAAAATATGAGTGGAAAATGCAGGAAGGCCTCCTGGAGCCCAATATCTACCATGCCCATGCACTTCAAACCCAAATATATCTGATTTCTCTCACAGGGATAATTTCATAGACATAACTGGATGGGCAACTTGTGACCCTCCAGATGGTCCAGTCTACAACTCTCATCAGCCCTAGCAAACATAGCCAGTTAGGCTCAGATAGCATGGGGTGCCAAAAGTTTATAGAAATGAGCTATCCATAACTAGATTTTTCCCCTGAGAATTTAAAGGCAGTCCATCTTTCAGAAACATCTTTAATATCCATTTAAAAAAACAACCCAACAGATTCGCATTTACTGGCTGGAAATCAATCAGGTTAAGGAAGTCTTCTGGTCAAGAGATTACAAGCGTATTGTGATCCCACTGCAACCCACCCACCCTTTTAACAAGCATGACGACCTATTCCTACATATATGAAGTGGTAGCTTTTGAAAACTGTATTCTCCTAAAGTTATATAAGCAGCAGTTGACACAGAAGCAGAAGCTGCCTAACTCAGCATGAGAGATCCATGGCATGAAGTAGGTCTCCCATGTAAAATCTGGAAGTTACTAAGGAACCATGCAAATATAAGCTCTGGGGGATGTTGTTTTTCCTCAAGCAATTTTCAAGCTTTCAGAGTTGTGGAGAAAGGACTGAAATGCAGCATGATTCATATTTAGAAAGTGTCCAGGAGGGCTAAAATTGTCAGTAATCAAGGAACATTTCTTCTGTTCTTAGCAAAACTCCTGATTCTTTCCTCAATAAAACTGCTAAACTGTCTGTAAGAAACTACTCCCTGCCTCACTATCTCTGCTAATGGTATGCTTCTTGTGATTTCGTATGCTACTTCCGTACTTCTCCCATTACCTCAATACACAGAGAAGCTTATGGAAATCCTTAGTCATTTGTATGCACAAACTTCCTTACTTTGAATATTGAACCTGCAAAGGTGCAGCCCTTATGCAATCTCACAGGAAGCAGCCAAAAGGGGCAGATACAAGCCTACCCATTTCAGAATCTCATAATGAAACATTTCAGTTCAACTACTTCTCTGTGTTAAATTTTTTGAGATATTTATACTCAAACATGACAACATTTTTGTTTAGTAAATATAAATCAAACATTCTAACAGTAGGGAATGTTATACTTGATTGATCTATTGCTGTGAATCTTAATGCTCAGGATTCTAAACATTTTGTACACATGGATCTTTCATAGGAGAAACCAGTACTTAGAATGAAGTAGCGATGTTATGATGGCCCAGTTCAGCCAAGTATTTCAAGCTTCATGAACAAAGGATTCTAAGGCAAGGCAAGGAAGAGCACTGGGGCTGAGCGCTCCAGCCCCCTCACCATCACTTGGCAGCTTCAGCACTTAATGTTGGTTAATCCACTAGGGAAATAAAAAATGAAATGAAACAAGCCAAGAGCAGAATGTTGAGGACGGGCAAGAGGAAGAGTACTTGGCTTGGACAATCATTCATGGCTTCATAAACCATGGTCAATCTTTTAGGTCTGGAGAGACCATTTAGGTGAATCAAGAGAACTAGCATTTTGCTCGTGGTACATCACTACAATGTGCAAGTTTCTAACAGCAGAAGGGATCCAATTCTTGCAAGAGTAGACAGGAGGTCAATTCAGAGATTGGAATAAAGTAGTCCAGAAAAATGAGACTAGGTCACATATGGCTATCCACCCTCTGATGTCACCATAGATCAACTGTACTTTGATATCAAAGTATTACTCCTGAAATAGTAAAGCCCAACTTCCTCTTAACAAAAATTGACACAGAAAAACCAAGTGTTTGACAGGAGGTGCACCATACTATAAATCAGCAGATGGTAGTGTTGTGCACTTATGTCAACACCAGAGGTCTGCCATAAAATTGGGACAGTCTGGTTCTTATTCATTTAAGGTAGAAATTCAACCATCAGATTCCTCTGAGCCACAGAAAGTAGGATAGATACAAAACAATTATCTGGCCCGCACCCTGGTAAAAGAAAAAGCACTATTTCATTTTCACATGCCTGGTTAAATCTGATGTAATATAAACAAATTAAATCATATACTTTTAATCTCTAGAAAGAGTATCCTAAACAGCTATCAAACATAATGGGGTAACAAGAAGTACACAAAAGAAGGGCTGAAAAGCCTCTCCTGAAAACCACAAGAACCTCCTGAACAGCAGGAAGGAGAAACTGCCTCAAATGCAGACCTCCACTCGAAAAGTGTGCCTCTGTTCCTTTTTGGACATTTCTCACTCTGCCTCGCTTGTGTGCTGTAGCCTATTCCAGAGGATCTACCAGACCTGGGGGCAGGGGAAGGAAGGTCTGCTTCTCTGAGTGCTTGTTAGGATACAAGCTCTCTGGTTAAAGACCTCTTTTTATGCAGAAAAAGGAGCAATTGAGGAAAAATAGACTTCTGATGTTACATATTAGAAATAAGTGTCAGGTATTGGATTTACTGCTCTAGACAAGGGAACTAGAAAATCATCAAAGGCTAAGAGCAATCATCTTGCTTTTTCCCAAGACAGGCAATTTTGTATTCCAATGTATTTCCTCTCTTCACACAAGTAATCCAAATGTGTTCCATTCTCTCTCTCTCTCTCTCTCTCTCTCTCTCTCTCTCTCTCTCTCTCTCTAATAAAAAACAGTCAGGTTAGCTTTATTCTGTAACAAAAGAGGGTGCTGATGCCCAAACTAAAACAGCTCTTGAAGTACGAAAGGAACTCTGGTCTCTTAAGCCAAACAGCTGTCAAAGGATAAAGGCACTAGCCCACATCTCAAAGTTGGAAGCCTGTCGTATTCTGTCTGGGATGCAGTCATGGTTCAGGAAGCACAGGAACAGAAAGGAGCAATTGCTTCAGCCAGTAAGGAACTGAAAATGCTGGAAAATCCCATTGTGTCTTGTGCTGTAGCTAGAGGATAAGGTGTGAGAACAACTGGCGGGCTTTTCGTTTTCACCATTTTATTTCTCAAATAATTGCATTTTGCATCTTGTGGAGAAATGTTAGTTTGCCAAGTTGCCTGCACTTATTTCTGGTAAGATCTAAACACCACCTTAAAGTTTATTTAGAATCAGATCTCACTTTATTCAGTGGAATCTACTTCAAAATAAGCATGTCTTCAGATAAGCAATCTTGCTTGGTCACAGAGAGATCCAAAAATAAAGTAGGAAAGAATGATATAAAATAAATCCATTTCTTGCTCCTAAGCAGATAGACTTCTGCAGGGCATGCAGGCTACACTACTGGGAAATCTGGATCATGCTCCTAGGTTATATAAAGGTCCTTTGTAGTTGCAAACCCATATATTTTAATGGTTATAGCACAGAGAATATGCAGGAATATGTCGATTTCAAAAATGAAACCTGATTTAATTGGTGTTGTAAAAATGCTACGTTGCTTTGTGATTTCAAAATCAGGATATGAAATTAAAGATCAGAGTTGACACAGAGGAAACACACACACCACTTTTTATGGTATTCGTGTTGGCCAAGTCTTCCCGGTTCTCCCTCAGCAAGGTGTGTGGGGCACAGATGCTAGTTAAGTTGTGGGCCTTGAAACAGGGCCTGCACTCCGACTCCCTCTCTCCTCCACTCCCCCAGAGCAGCAGAGTGTGTTGCAATAACTTGTTCGGCAGCGGCAGCTGCTCCTGGGGAGCGGAGAGGAGAGAACTGTCTCCCTCGCAAGAGGCTTCCCGGATAGAGTACAACAAAGGGATCCAGTACAGACATCTCCTTTTAAAGAAACTGCCGACAACGAGCTGGCTCAAGTGTTTCCATGATTTTTTTAAAGTAACTTCTTTTTGTCTGCTCTCCGAGCTCCGTGATGTCACCCAGTCTCCCTCCTGCTCCCCCTCCCCCTCCACCCACCCCACCCCTTCTTTGGGAGCAGTGTAGCCAAATAAGGAGATCAGAACCACAGCAGCGAGCCAAAGAGAAGGGGCGGGATGAAGGGGAGACGGCTGTCCACACATGGCACCCAACACGCTCTTGTTCATAGGCGTGCTCTTCTGTCACACACAGAGGGGGTGGGGAGCTGTGAGAGGTGCCCAGAGATCAGGGAATATTTAGAGGCCAGGATAAGCCAGGAAGCACAAGAACAGGCAAACGTGTGCGCAGATGTGTTCGCAGAATTAACTGTCAGAGGCATTTGAAACACATTGACAGCGACTCTGCGGTTCAAGCAGTCTGGGGCACAAGCTTCAGTAGCAAGGCTGTTTTTCTTGAACATGACCCAGTAACAGACAGACACGTTTTCGCTCTCTTCCCCCCCCTCTCCCTTTTCACATGCACATACAGCTCCCTGCACAAGTCCTAGACACAAGCACCACAACGTCTTAGCGTGCCGCTGCGACTCAGAAGGGAAACTAATAAGTGCCAGGCTTTGGCCC